CCTTCTTTTTTTCCCTTTTTTTCTCTTTTCTCTCCTCTTTTTTTCTCTCTTCTCTTTCTCTTCTTTTTTTATCTCCCCTCTTTTCTGTTTCCTTCTTTTTTCTCTTTTCTTTCTTTACCTCTTTCTCTTTTTTCTCTCTCTCCCTATTTTCTCTCTCTTTCTCTTTTTTTTTTCCTTTTTCTTATAACAAGTTTAACAAAAAAGGATACACAAGAAGAAAGGTAGTGTATATGAAGTTTGATTTATTGCCACCAGATTTGGAATTTTTAGAAAATTGTTGGGGAAAAAAGGCAACATTTATGATTATTAACTATATTAATATGCAGTGCATACTGCCGTGTACCCTCTGCCCCAGTTCTCTTTTTGTGGCATGCCAGCATTCTGGCATCTTACAAGGTAGACATTGTGGTTTTTTCTGCTCTCTGGCCAAAACTGCTGCCTACCCCTGCACTAGCACATGGTTGGTATTGCTAGAATTGGATGTCTTGCTTGTGTTTCATGTGCACAAGATAAATGTGGAACATCTTAAGGCATTGTCATTTATTAATACCATTTGCTAAACTGACTAGTAAATTTGCTGTTACAATAATCCATGATCAAAGAAACAGGTTTCAAGAAAGAAGAATTAACTGTGTCTTTTATTACAGGTGGTTCAGTCATAGTTAATATGTATTAAAATTCCTTCACCAAAGCTGGGTTATGATTATAACTTCAATGTACATGCTTGTGTTGATTCCCACTTGCATCTTTCTAAGTAGTTTTTTTTGCCATTCTGAAGTGGAGAGGTCCTGTTATTGCACCAGCTATGAGGTGCTCCATGTGGGGAACTGTAGATTTAAATAGAATACTGAATGTCATGAGACTTGAAATAAAACCATGAGAACTGCTAACAATGAGCTGAAAGATCTAATATAACTTTTAACAGCTTTAAAAAGCAGGCTTGGGTGAGGGAGCTGTCACTGGGGAGGTGCATCAACTGCTACACTAACCATTGTACCTGATTTAGTGATACAAATCAGCTAAATTGCTGTTACCCAGGGGCAGGAAAGTCCAGCCCACAGCTGGATCCAGCCTGCAGTGGACCCTATTTCCCAGCAACCCCTGCAGCGGTGGTTCACGACGTATGCTGCCACCAGACCCAGCCTCTGCTGCCTGGACACGCTGCCCTGCCTGCCCCACACCCGTCACTGGGGGCAGGACCTGTGCAGGCAGGGTGTGTGGCCAGGAGTGAGACAGGCAGGCGGGGCCAGGGAAACCCCAGGATCTTGGGACTCTGACAATGTGTGGCTGGGGCAGAAACACAATTTGCTGCCCCCATCCCCCTGTGATTAGTGCGGGTTCCGCAGACAGGGGCATGCAGGGAGTGGGTCACAGCTGTGCCCCAACCCAGGCCCAGTGCTGGCCTTGGCCCTGGAGCAGCTCCCCACCCAGACTGCGCTACTCCTGGGCAGTTTCTGTTGAGACCATGGGACCACAGGGTTATGGTGGTGTGGGGCTCAGCCCCGACTCTGCAGCTCCATGCTGTCACAGGCCCATGTTCCCAGGGTCTCCATAGAGAGTGGCCAGGAGTGGCCCGGACATGTGCTGCTGGGAAATGCAGTCCAGCTGCTGGCTGGATCTGCCATTTTGCCCAGTCCTGCTCTAACCTAACCCTAAACGGAACCGCATTACATTTGTAACTTTTTTTTTTTAAATATACTTGCCTGAGTGCTTCTGCATACATATATAACAGTTGCATCATAACAGCATGTATTAATATAATTTGATACTGATGCAGTTATTTCTTGGTGGCTCATTTTGCTATATTATCATGCCATAAGGCTTTAATGTGTGGTCAGTTTACTGTCTATGTCAGATTAATACTTCAATCAAATTTTAAATGTACCACATGCCACAGCTATTAGGATATGAAATAGGAAGACGGAAGGAAGAAAAGAGGGGAAGACCTTGAAGAAATGCCAAAAATAAGATAAAAGTAGTATAAAAAAAGTACGTGAACTTGGAACTGTGTAAACATTTGGTTCTTTGGCTTCTTGGAGGAAACAAATTCAACTTTACCTTGGAGAACTTGCATTCCTTGCTCTAGTAGTTTTGCATGCAATAACTTTCCTATTGCTGTTTAAATCCTTTCTACTCTGTCTCATTTAGCTTTGGAGGGTGCATTTAGTTAACTACGGTGTGATCATCTTGTGCTTGGCCTTCTGCTGTTAGCAATGTATTCATGGTCTGTTTAAAACTTTGAGCATAGCCAGAAGGAAGGGATGCTTATGAGTTAGATGGAAATAAAAACAAGATGATGGGACACTTCATGTAGTTGGGTTCCTTGCAATGACTATATTGGTGTATATTTTTACTTGAAGTGAATGTGCCTGACTCCATTTAACTCTGCAGGTTCCAGGCCTGACCCTCTCCCTTTTTGCTGTCTCTGCTGCTTATGATTAATGTT